GTCTCCCACTATTCTCGTGTATTTATATAAGGAGAATTAAACCCAATGTAGAGCGAATAGTATTTTCTGTTTGGAACCTGTTCAAGATGTTTGATCGCTGGAAAGGAGGAGAACATGCCCACCCCCCTTCCCTAGGACCCCACACTCCTTGCTCTTGAAACTTAGTTCAAAACTGGTGATAGAAGAGTATTTGTCAAACTTGAAGATATATTTGTTCAGGAAAAACAGGACATGCTGCATGTGGCAATACACATCTCTATCCTCCAACAAAGTAAACACTTGCAGAATCTAGAAGAGCTGAGAATTTGTCTTAGCAGTGGATATTACTGGGTGCATCTCCACTAGAGTTAATGCAGTTTGACACCACTTTAACTGCCATGGTTCAGTACTGTGGAATCATGGGAGTTGTAATTTGATGGAGCGTCAAATCCTATTTGATAGAGAAGGCTGAAGACCATGTAAGACTCCAACTCTCATGATTCCATGGCATTGAGTCATGGCAGTTGAAATGGTGTCAAATTGCATTAGTTCTACCACCCACTGTTACAAAAACAAACAGTGGGGGGGGGGGGGCGTAATAGGAATAAATTCCATTCCTTATTTTCACTTTCTGTCTCTCCTTAGTCTAGGTTCATTTTCCCTCCCAAATATTGGTTTAAAATTAATAACTAAATTATATTTGATCCCCCAGATACTGTTATTGATAATGATAGCCCATCTCTTCCCAAATGAGCCTGTCCAACTCATGATCCTTGAGGGAGAACTTTTGCCCTGTCTCATCGTCCTTGTAGGCCATGCTATCTCTTATTAAACGAGGCCTTCATCCTTTAACTCATTGACTTCTATCATAATTTCCACCCATGGAAATATATTTAGTTTTATAATTAAGTGACATTTTCTACACAAGTGGGATTCCTGCTGATTACATACAGTAATAATGTGTAATTTAAATACTTTAAATCAATACTTCAAAAATAATGCTTTAATTAGATAAATCATTGCTTTAAAAATTGTACCACATATCATTCTAGCTGTTATAGCCTGCCTTTCTCCCAGTATGGGACTCTCAAGCCCCATAATGGAAAAAAGGCAGGATATAATATAGTAAGCCACTTTTGAGTCTCATACTGGGAGAAAGGCAGAATATAAATCGAATAAAGAGTTCAACTGGAACTCACCATTGGACATGGTGACTGAAACTCATAGGCTTCATGTTCAAGAAACCTGGAGATGTTCTTCTTGCCATTCCTCCATTAAAGGATTATTTTGTTGCCTTCATGTTGTTTGGAGACCCATTGCTATGTTTTCTTCTCAAAATGTTTTCAGAAGGGGTTTCCATTACCCTCCTCTGAGGCTGAGAGGGTGTGACTTACAAGGTCAAAAAGTCAGTTTTATAGCTGAGCGGGAATTCGAATTCTGGTCTCTAGACTCAATAGTTTTAATGGTTAATAATTTCTAATGGTTTTATAGGATGGTAACTGTTTATTTTAAATAGTTTTATGGTTAATTTTACTTTAGTGTTGTAGGTTTTAAATGGTAATTTGCATTGGTTTTTGAGTCTCCTATAAGAGTGGGAAGCGGGATATAAATATAATAATATATATTTATATAATAATAATACTGTTGTATTATCTGGGCGGAGGCCACTAGGGGATGCAAGAGAGCGAAGGGTAGTTCATATTATGGAGGTGGAGGGTGGGTTGAAGATGTTAAAAAAATCCCCCATTTTTCTGTTATTTCCTCCACCCATATTGCCATTCTCAAAACGAACATTATTTATAATATGGGAAAGGGGCGGGATAACTAGCGAAAATGAGGGAAATGGTTTTCCTCCTTCAATTCACCCCCCCCCCCCCATAAAATGAATATCCTTCTCTATCTAGGTCCTCTTTTGGAGTTTCACCTAGCTTATGGAATAGTACCAATAATAATAGTCATCATCATCATCATCATCATCATGTGCTCAAACCACTATATCACACTGGCTCCATGTTAACATCTATGACCCTTCTTTGTCCCCCCCCCCCCCCCCACACACACACACAAATCAGTATTTCCTGGAAAACTGCCTATTTGGGAATGCTAGATTGCAAATTGCCTACTCCCAGTACAATTTTTTTAAAAAAACAAAAATAGTTTATCCCTTTTTTACTCGAGTCCTTAGAAAGTCTAATTCCCAAAGCTCAATCTGGGCACCATTTTGAAGGAAAAAAACGTCCAAGATTGTCAATCTTTTCCAAACTGAATAGTTTCAGACAAGCAAAATGGGGCTCCTGAAGGGAAATGAGGAAAAGTTGGCAAAACCCAGGATTTATCAACCTTTTCAGTCGGTCATGGCTTTCTAGAGACTTTGTTCCAGGCTTTCAATGTTTGGTGAGAAGTGTTGGGAAGGATTTTCCTGGGCCATTCAGTCCCTCCGGCAAGGAAGGTCCTCCCTCCAGCTGAGCCCAGCTGCATTCCTCTCATGGCTGGGATCCCCGCAATCCCATCACCCAGGGAACACAGCTGTGGTGAGTCCTGCCTTCACAGAGATCATATTAACCCCTTTTTATGTTCCCAACACATTTGCTGAAGTATTTGCCAGTGTTTTTAGGTTCCTGAGGAGAGGGTCTTCCTGAAAAAAAAAAGTCTGTAGTGATGCTTCCTTAGAACCAGTGGGGAAAAAACAAAGAGGGGCTGTTTGTATTGTTGAGGACTTCTTCTTTGTGTTGTGAGGCAGCCCTTTATTTTAAAGAAGCAAAAAAACAAAACAAAAAAAAAACAAAAAAAAAATAAAAAAACAAAAACAAAAACAAAAACAAACAAACCCTGAGCCTACAGGGCAGAGCTTTCCAAACATTTCACATTTGTGACTCACCTTTTTAGATAATGCATCATCTCGCGACACAGTCATTCAGTTTTATTACCAAACTGGAGGTTAAAACAACCCCTTATAAGAAATATGGACACATATTTAATATGTATTTTATAGAAATACACACACACAAAAGATTTTATGGGATATGTGTCCCCATGCATTTTATTATTATAACATAAGCATCATCATCATCATCATCATCATCATCATCATCCTCACAATCATTTCTTACCCATCTCTCCTCACAGCTTGAGGTGGGTCACAACACAGTCAAAACACACAAACATTGAAAAAAATCTTTAAAGTGTTGTTCCATAGTACACACACACACACAATGACTTATTGCTTTTTTCACATCAATTCAGAGGGTTTTCATTACATTTTTATTACATAGGCAATCCCTCATGGGCAAGTGTGATTGTCCTTCAAGTGCAGTGTCTTGGTGGTGGGTCTGTAGGTGACTGTAGAGATCTATTCTTAATCCGCATGTTTTTCCGCAGTGAGGACATAGATTTCCAGATGAAGGGAGGTCCTGGTCAGGGTTGGCTTGATGTACCTTCCTCTTGACAGGTTTCTCCCTTTTGCCCTCCATTTACACCTCTTTGAATTCCACAGCACTGTTGGTCACAGCTAACCTCCAGTTAGATCATAGGCCAGGGCTTCCTAGTTCTTGATGTCTATGCCACAATTTTTAAGGTGGCTTTAAGCTCATCTTTAAATCTCTTTTCCTGTCCACCAACATTCCTTTGAGTTGAGAATAGAGAACTGCTTTGGGAGATGGTGATTGGGCATTCGGACAATGTGGCCAGTCCAGCGAAGTTGATGGTGGAGGATCATTGCCTCAGTGCTGATAGTCTTTGCTACTTCCAGAACCCTGACATTTGTCCATCTGTCTTCCCAAGAGATTTGCAGGATTTTTAAGAAACTATTTTGCCTACCCAATAGTCTCTGGCAAAAGCAAAGTCTTTCATCTTCTCCTACCTTGTCATTACTTTTACATTAATAATGTCTGACAGAGTGACCACACTCTGATTTTGCTTGACCGTACATGTCTGTTTTCTTGTGTGATTAAAAATTTTTTATTAGATTTTCAAAAAAGTAACTTAAATCTAACAAATTGCAATACAAAGGGGAAAAAAGCATAGGCACTAAAACAGAAAAAAAACAAAAAGAATCCAATACGAAAAGAACCCCATAATATTACATCCCTCTCAGCCAACTAAAGCAAACAAATAAATGTAAGTGAAATTTTGAAGGGCATGGAGCTGACACCGAACAGCATCTGGAAGGCTATAATTGTCCATCTTTGTTCTGATATATAGAACTGCAGTCCATCATTGAGTGAACTTGGAATCAGCAGAATGTATTTGCTTTCTCAAACATTAAAGCTTCTTGGACAGTGCCACCCTGTGGTTGGTGTGCTTATACATGTAAGGTAGCAGAGATACGCAGAACAAGAGTAAAGAAACTGGCCAGTGTAGATGTGATATTGATATGAATGAAGCTGTAGTTCGGTAGCACTACAAGATGACCAGATTGTGCAACAGAGAAAGAGAGGAAGAGAGACCAAGAGAGGGAATGATGCTGTTTTCCCTTGCTGTTACACTGACCAACACACATTTTGTTGCCTCAAAAGTGCTTCCTTGCTAAAGTGCCTGGATGGAACCAAGCACTGCCTATTTCTGAACATCTTATACATTATTTGTTATTGATAAAGTACATTTTCTTATTTAAAAACACACAACCAAAAATTGTGGTAATTTTCAGGGCGGGGGGAGGAACAGATTAATAGCATTTCAATGGGAACATTCACTTTGAGAGAAGAATGTTTTGACTAAAGAACACAGTCACAGAACAAATTAAATTCTTAAGTCAAGGTATCACTATATAAGACAGCATATCTATGGCATTCCTCTCTTGGTCTACTGTCCAAGTCTGGGGCTGAATGTAGGTCAGACATATCTTAAAAGATGCCTTCCATTTTTTTCTTTGGTAGTGTCCAAAGAAATGTGATGTGTGACCTTTCTAACAAGTGCTAATTTTTCCTTCATTGATCTCAGAAACACTGTTCTTTAGGCTCTCCCTCTGACAGGTTCAGATGTATATACTAGCCATCCTATTCACTCAGTTTCTAAGAACATTATTAGTCAAAAACTAAGATATCAAAATCAAAGTTTGGACAAAGTTTACTTTGGACACTGAGAGCTTCCAGTCACAATGACAGTTAATGGTAGGTTATAGCTGAACAATAAAAGTGAATAAAACTTAATGTTGGCAGGAGCCAAGTTTATTTATTTAGCAAGTTATTTTATTTATATGCCACCTTTCTCCCAAAAAGGAACCCAAGGCAGGTTACAAAACAGCAAGTTAAAACATATTGTATTTCAACCCGGGCGATCAGTGGGGTGACAAATGTCGCAGCCAGATCGCCCTCACATCCATATTGCATTTCTTTAATTCTGAGACACACTTTCCCCCATATCAATATCTCTAAAAACAGTATGCATCTTAGAATTGTGAGTGCTTAAATGTATGGCATTCCCCCTGTTGGTGGTACTGATATTAGTGTGCATCTTACAAACAATGGCATCTTAGAATCAAAGAAATATGGATATATTACACAGTGCAAAACAACTAAAATCATAGAGTACATTAAGAAAACAAAAACATACAAAAATTAATATATTTTAAAGGCTTATACTGCTTATACAATTTATTGGCCTTGCTCTAAAATCTAAATTATTGACAACATTAAAATCAGTCATTAAATTCAAAGGAAGCAAAGTAATATAAACAAATAGAACATAAAGCATTTAGTACCATCATCATAGCACAACAAGCCTACTGATAGAACAACCACCAGCTTTTTCTGAGATATGCCTCAAAGAGAACAGATTTCATCAGCGCTTAAAAGCTTTCAGTTTGAAGCCAATCAAATTCTGTAAGAAGAGTATTCTATAAGAGCAACAAAATTTCATTTCTAGACACATTTTGTAATTCGGCAGAAATTAATGTTGTAGATTTTACAGCTGTTTGTATTCAACACGTTTGTGCATCTACTTTAAGAACAATGATTTAGTCTTCTGTGGGCTTTAAGTATGAAAACATGGCCTAGGAATATGTTAGTCAAGAAATGCATCTAACAATGTAAGAGAAACACACATTTCAAAGAGAAACTATGAACAGACCCAAACCACAATGGTTCCATTGAATACAAAGAAGAGTTGAGTAGTCACTTTGAGTGGCCACTATTGACCATTATTCTGGCCCTCTTATTTATTGGTTAAAACCATAAATGTTCTTGTGGAAATGGTTTGCGTGAGCTATATGGATTGTAAAAAGCTCATATTTGTCAATGTCTATCAATCTAATAAAATTAATAGCCTGCAAGATTTTTCTTTTTCAAAGTTTGAAACTGTAGGATTCTAGGAGACTGGGGCCACATCTACACTGACCATATAATCCAGTTTGAAGCTAGCTTCAAATTGTGAGAGCTACCAAATATATGCTACCAATGTATACTGCAGCATATATTGGTACTGCAGAAGTACATTTTTAAAAAAACCAAACCAGTTAAATAATTTCAATGTCATATGCTATCAGGCCTTCAATGGAAAAGCCCAAGTAGAAAGACACTCGTTCAATGCTGCGACCACTTTTTAATTTACCTAGGTAAACCGGCCGTGCTGGAATTTCGATGTTTTCATCAGTGCCATAATCCACATTAATTTGATCACCTTCAACTTTGCCAGTCAATCGTAGCAAAAGACGTTTAACTTCATCTGTTTTCCATATCTCTCCACTCTGCCACTGGGCATTAAGTATATCACTTATTTTGGATTTCTTTTCATGCCTAATCTTGGTAGTAACACACTGATCAAGTTTTCCTTTGTGAATGAATTTGTTCAGGTAGCTTCCTTTTCCGAGGTAGAAAAACGCTATTGGTTGCTTGGAACGGCTCATTTTCCAGTACTTACTGTTAAAAGCTTTCTTCAGTACAGCGAGATACTTTTCCATTTGTTTATTATCTTTATCTAGATTATTTTGCTTTTCAGGCCAAAACAGTAAGGAAGCTAAGAAGTATGGTTCTGAGTATCGATGCTCGGGACCAACGGACTGTAGAATCACTTTCAGTTGTTCTCTGAGATCTAGGGAAGACCGTACCATCTTGGATTTTGGACTGAGACAATGGAGGACAATATTGGCCAAAATAAAATTCAGTTTGTCCCTCTGAATATATTTGGTAGAGCTCTGAGCAATCAGATCGGCATACTTTTTCACAATGTCCTCCAGTTTGCTTACAGTATTTTCATGGCTGCCAAGATATTCCAGAATTCCAGAAAACTTGTCTGCCTTTGAAACTTCTAAACTCTTTCTGTAATTTTCCATCAGCAAAGATGAACTCAGTTTTGACTTCTTTAGCCAATCAAAATCAGAGTAGCAAAATATTTCTGCATATTTCTTGAAAAGTTCTTGAATCTTATTCCGTATTTTGAACTCAACAGTTTCTTTTTCAGGATTTTTTGGTTTCAGAAAGATAAAGTAGTTGTCAAAAAAGTCAAATGCATTTTTAAGGTCGAGTTGTAACTTACTTAAGTAATTTGCATACTTCTTAAGAATCAGACTGTAATTTTCACAATCTGTACCACTTGTAACTTTTGGGATATCACAGTTTCCCGAGAGGAACTGTGTGATATGTTTTCTAGAAAGATCATCTTTTTTGTTGAACAAAGGTGTAAATTCAATAATTTTTATAGCATATAGACCAGTTTCTATTTCTCCTGAGTAACCAGATGTATTATACATTTCATATCTTCTCTTGTGTTTCATATTTTGATAAGATTCTCCTTCACTGTCTTTATTTTCTGTTTGTCGTTGAGATTCTTTAAATGCATCTGAAGCACACTTTGCAAGGTTCAACAAATCATCCAGAATTTCCACAGTTATTGTGGGTTTCTCTGTATTTTCTTCAAGCCAGTGTTTTATCTTACTTTTAAAAACTTGACCCAAAGTATCTGATATATATGAGTTATTAGGTGCTCCCCTTTTAGCTCTTCTAGCCCATTCTAATGCACTGTCAAAATTCTTCTCCTTGATGTAGAAATGCCTTGCTAAGGCTTGGCTAATAAATACATTTTTGCTGAATCTATTAGTCCCCTCCATCAACACACATTCAACTTCGGTGTTTTCTTCTTCTTTTTGAATGGCTTCAATTAATGGGGAAAATAATGTGTCTGTGTCATCACCATGTTCCCTTCGGTGCCTTGTAAGCAGCATGCTTTGGACATCTTGCTGAAGTTTGTCTTTTCCTATGCCAACCTCATAAAATGAATCCTCTCTTAGCAATAAAAGTGTAATTTCACTTTTAGTCAATTTGTATGTTTGCTTAAATTCTTCCAGACATTGTACAGCAATCAGCGAGTGACTGATGCGCACCGCTTTGTACTGTCCACATTCTTGCACTTCTGTTTGTATAATAATGTTAGAGCAATTTCCCATCTTGTCATCCAACTTTTCTGGACCCCAGTAAGTCTTTTTGGTACTTATTCCCAAAAAATCCTCACATTGCGATACTGAGATTGTGGACTCTGTAACATATGAATTAAGAAGTGCCAGAAAAGATATAAGTTGAACTTGCTTACTTGTAACATCTAGACTTTTCAATGTGTTTTTGACTACATTCTCTATGTATTCTTGATGAAAGTTTTCTTTCATAATCATAAATGAATAAAAGTCTTCAGGATGGTCATACTGACATTCAATTTCTTTCAGTTTTTCCTCAAAAGCTCTTTGTTCTTTCAGAGATAATTTTTGCTTCAAAGCAATACTATTCAGACTGTTGTTCTTTGCACTCTCTACAGGGTTCTGTGATCTCATACAATTTAAGATGAAGACCAGAGGATTTTCATATCTAATTCCATGTTCTGCTATGGCGGATTGGATAGCATGTTGTAGATGATAAACATTTTCTTGTTCCTCAAAGTCATCCACAAGCAGCAGTACTGGCAAGTAATCAAACTTGCTTAATGTCCCAGATGTAATTAAGGTGGACAGTTGTCTTCCAATTTCTAAAAAATCAATTGTTTTGTTATTTAAAACAGCACACCTGAATTTATTTCTCAGTTCCCAGAGAATATGCATGGCTAAAGTGGTACCGCCACAGCCTGGATGATGGTAGAGGTTGATAATTTTTGTAGGCGATTGTTTAGAGTATGGAGACCCTGATACAATCAGATCTTCAAGCTTCTCAAATGCATCCCGCTTAATGAAAGAAGAACTGTAGTGTTCAGAAGAGAAATAAAAATTCCACCAAGTCACTTTCCCACCACGATAAAAATGCTCTTCTTTTTTTTTTTTAAATTTAGAAAACTGTTTTTCATCTTTTTCAATCTCTGTGTCTTGGCATTCATTTTGACAGAGTATTTCCAGTGCAGCCATGAAGTCTTCATCTTTCTTTAACAGAATGGTAGAAGAACCCCCCTTTGATGGCAACAGTCTGTGAGAAGTTTGGGTCATTGACTTTAACTTTTGGATAGTACCATTCACCATTGGTAAGGTCAAGCCAGATATGCACCTGTCTGCTAGTTTATCTGCATCAATAAATCTGGCTTTCAGGAGATCCTTCCAGCGGTGGTATGTTTGTGTTCCGATACAAATACAAAGCATGTCATCAAGTCCTTTGAGTTCTTGATAAAATGTACACAATGTTTCAATCATGGGATCACCTGGATCTTCCACTTTTGACAGTAATATAAACAGCACCAAAAACCTCCCTCTTTGCATTACATCAGGGTGGGAAAGAAATGAGATCAGTTTCCTGACTTCAGCAGCTCTCTGTTGCTGCCAGCCACTTGGGTTGAAGGGCTGATATGCTTCACTGTTCAGGTCTGATCTGCCATTGCAGAAAATCCAGCTTGGTTGCTGATAGAGATTCAGTTCCTGAATTGTGTCAGATGCTGAATTTAGGGGTTTCTGGTATTGTTTTGGAAAATGAAGGTTTGCAGCTCTGTTTTCTCTGAATGTCTTGACCACACCACTGCTCACTGACTCTGGATCAAAGTCAAGGGCAGCAAACACATTCATTTCCTGTAAGAAGTTAACATGCTGTGCATCGTGTGGATGACATTTGTTGGTAACTAAAATATACCAATCATAATAGGAGTTATCTAGCAAGTCTTTGTTGCCCGTGAGTAGACGGACCAGTTTGTGGCCTTCATCCTCTCTCTTCCGTATTTTTTCTGCATGTTCTTCTTCAGCTTCTTTTCTATTTACATCTTTTTCCTGCAATTTAGACTTAAACAACTTATACTCCTTTTTATTTTTTTGGATATTTTTAGAAGCAGCGCCATCTCTTATGAACAAACCTGGCTCCCATGTTTTGCTTTTAAAATTGTATGTATTTGTAGGAAAATACTTAGATTGACAACTAGAGGATTTTGGAATGACATCAACCTCGATCACAAAAGTTTCCGATGCAACACCATTTTGATGCAACACTTCCACAAACCTAGGTTTCCTAATGCAATCTTTGGCAACATCAATAGTGTTTACAAAGTACTGTTTTATCATCAAGTCGAAATAGTTAATATATTTCTCTTTATTTTGGACTTTCACTCCAATAATTTCTCCATGGGGATTATCCCGTATGCCTAAGTGAATAGTACCATTAGTACGGGAGTTCATGCAGGCTGCTGCAAATCTAAAAACTTCATTGCAAAATTTCATTTTTAGATTTTCCTCTGTGGCATTATCTGTGTTTGTAAAGAGCTTAAATTCATGGACTGGATCAATGAGATTTAGTGGCCCAGTTTCAGGTGTATGGAGAACATAATGTTCTATGTAACGATGACTGTTGTGAAATTCATCAAAGGGATGTGGTAGGCATGTTTGCCTAGTGGGAAAGTGATTACTTTGGTCTTGGTGAAGTATGTTCTTTGTTTTTTCTTGAAGTACAGATTCTGGTGATTCAGTGCATTCCGATTTTGCAAACCCTGTTTGTTTACAGGTGTCATCATACTTCATTTCATTGTTCGCTTCTATGTGCCTTCCATCTTTGCTTTTATTTGATAATTTAGCATCAAAAATCTCTGTACTGTGTCCTTCCCTGGATATTATGGTAGATCTTTTAGGTGGATCATCATTCCCTTTCATGGCATGCATTATCTTGATTGCTGGGCCATGGGGCATTCCCATTGCTAGAAGGTCTTCCTTTGTCAAGATCTTCAGAATGGAGCCTGTCACATCCTGATCAAGAAGGACATTACCATGTTTCTCCTCAAGCTTCAGTTCATTGATCACCCATTGTTTTACATGCTCTTTTGTCCAATTCTCAATTTTATCATTGAGAGCAAGGCTTTGTTCTTTTCTATAACTCTTACTTGTGCCTTCATCTGGGTCACTATTACCTTTCAATGAATACATGATTTTAAATATCAGGCAGCTCAAGATCAGTTTTTCATGACACCAGTGGAGTAGCAGGGAGGCACCAAGAAAGGCTATCAAGTAGAGCCAATTAGCCAAAGGTTCCTATGGCTGCTGATAACTATATATGTAAATATTTGTAGATCACAAGCTGCTTAAAGGCATCAGGATTCAAAGTGACAAGACAGTTGGTTTCTCAGAAATCTCTATTATTCAGGATTGTGTCCTTCCTGGTAGATGTCTCTAGGAACTCCTTACCACAAGAAACACATTATTTTAATTGTTGAGCAAAACATTAATCTCCATCTTCATATAATCTTGTTTTGTTAAGATATTTAAAATGGTCTCTGTTACATCTTGACGAAAACGGGAGTTACCATATTTCTCTTCAAGTTGAAAGCAATTGGTCACTAATTATCTTCCAGGTTCTTTTTGTCCAATCTTTGGTATTTTCAGGGATATCTTATTGGTTACATCTCTTGAATCTTTAAAGAAAAACAAAAATTTATAATTACAACATTTTAAAGGAAATCCATTTCTATCTAAACCAGAAATTCCCAACCATTGGTGCTTCAGGTGTTTTGGATTTCAAGAAAACTAATAGTCAAAATAATTGTCACATCCCCAGGAGTCACCAAGTACCATTATTTTTGAAATAGCAAGTTTCTGAGACAATGATTGTCTCAAAAAGAAATGAAAATGTGAAAGAAAACAATCCTCATGTTGGTGGTGGGAATTGTGTTTTGTGTGTGCATGGTATGTATTTTTTTTTGCATTGTAAAAAATTCGAAAAAAAGGAAATAGCAAGTTTCTGTCCTCAGAAATCTTATGATTATATTTTCTCTTTTCTAAAAATATTTTCTCTCTTCAAAATCTTATGATTATATTTTCTCCCTTCTAAAAATAACAATAAAGATAAAAAATACAGCAGCCTCATAGAAATACTGTTCATAACTATACAAGAAGTCTGTGATTATCTGACTGGTTAGAGACTGGACCTCTGTCAGAAAATGAAATTGGTTGAAAAGTGGAACTTTTTTTTTAAAAAAAAAACAGCAAATGCAAGACTAATCACTAGATGGTATTGGGTCAACTGAAAGACCTTCCCAGCATGCTAAAAAAAGAAACAGTAGTCAAAAGTGCAGAACATGGCTATAATTTAGACCTATTGAAACAGCAGAACTTCTAAAAAGAAGCCTTCAAATAGTGAGGACTGCCTATATTTATCAACTGCCTCTTTAAATAAAAAAGCACTTACTTGCTCATGAAAGTGCACAGGGGCACCAGTCCAGCCTCACAAGGAAGTTGATTCCACAGTTTGGAAACAGCCACTGATCCACCTAAATGAAGACCACAATTTCAGGCAATGCTTATTCTACTTTGTAGAAGACCTTTTATCTCAAAGATACTTCTATAAAAATTCTTGAGGAAAGTGCACAGGGGCACCAGTCCAGCCTCACAAGGAAGTTGATTCCACAGTTTGGAAACAGCCACTGATCCACCTAAATGAAGACCACAATTTCAGGCAATGCTTATTCTACTTTGTAGAAGACCTTTTATCTCAAAGATACTTCTATAAAAATTCTTGAGTTGCTTAAACTCAGATCTTTAAGTGCAATTATGCTTTATATTTTCTCAAACATGAGACAAGCATTCAACTGAGATATGTTTCTATTAATTACTAGCTGTGCCCTGCCACGCGTTGCTGTGGCCTATAGTAAAACTTATCAAAGTTGAGGTAGATATCTGGACTATTATGAAAGAGAGGTACCTACCTATTCCTTCCCCCTTTTCCTCCCCCTTTCTCTCCTTTCTTCCTTCTCTACCTCTTTCTTTCTTTCCTTCTTTCACTACTTGGTTTCATCCTTCTCTCTTTCCTTCATTCCCTCCCCCTTTCTTCCTTTGCCTTTCTTCCCTCCCTGTTTGCTTCCTTCTTTCACTTTTTATTTCCTTTTATTTCACCACCATCATAACAATAACAATAATGCAATGCATTGCCTCTGGGACCTGACACCTCTCCCATTCCCCCAGGGTCTCATAGGAATAATAGCATAATAATAATAGAAATAACAACCTTTACCCGCCACGTGTTGCTGTGGCCAACCTTCCCTCTTTCTCTCCTTCTTTCCCTCCTTCTTTCCCTCCTTCTTTCCCTCCTTCCTTCCTTCCTTCCCTCCCTCCCTTCCCTCCCTCCCATCTTTCCTTCTCCTCTTCCTTCTCTATCTCTTTCCTTCCTTCCCCTTTTTCTTTCTCTTCTGGTCTCTTTTCTTCCTTCTCTCTTTCCTTCTTTCCTTCCCTCCCTCTTTCTCTACATCTTCCCCCTTCCTTCACTCCCTCTTTCCTTCCTTCATTCCCTTTTTTCTTTCCTTCTCTCCTTCTTCCTTCCCCCTTTTTCTTTCTCTTCTGGTCTCTTTTCTTCCTTCTCTCTTTCCTTCTTTCCTTCCCTCCCTCTTTCTCTGCATCTTCCCCCTTCCTTCACTCCCTCTTTCCTTCCTTCATTCCCTTTTTTCTTTCTCTCTCCTCCTTCCTTCCCCCTTTTTCTTTCTCTTCTGGTCTCTTTTCTTCCTTCTCTCTTTCCTTCTTTCCTTCCCTCCCTCTTTCTCTACATCTTCCCCCCTTCCTTCACTCCCTCTTTCCTTCCTTCATTCCCTTTTTCTTTCCTTCTCTCCTTCCTTCCTTCCCCCTTTTTCTTTCCCTCCCTCTGTCTCTCATTTCTTCCTTCTCTACCTCTTTCCTTCCTTCCCCCTTTTTCTTTCTCTTCTGCTGTCTCTCTTTTCTTTCCTTCCATCTTTCCTTTTCTTTCCTTTTCTTCTTCCTTCTTTCTCTAACTTTCCTTCCTTCCCCCTTTTTCTTTACCTCCCTTTCTCTTTCTTCCTTCTTTCCTTCCTTCCTGTCTTTCCTGGATTTTGACAGGGCGGGAAGGGGCAGGGTGGGGTTTGGAGGTGGCGTGAAGTAAAAGGAGGTAAGATTGGGCGGGGGAGTGATGGAGCGTGGGGTTGTGTGTGTGTGTGGCGGCGGGGGGAGTGATGGAGCGTGGGGTTGCGTGTGTGTGTGCGGTGGCGGGGGGAGTGATGGAGCATGGGGTTGCATGTGTGTGTGCGGTGGCAGGGGGAGTGATGGAGCGTGGGGTTGCGTGTGTGTGTGTGCGGCGGCGGGGGGAGTGGGGTTGCGTGTGTGTGCGGCGGCGGGGGGGAGGGATGGGGCGTGGGTTTGCATGTGTGTGCGGCGGTGGGGAGTGATGGAGCGTGGGGTTTGTGTGTGTGTGGCGGCGGGGGAGTGATGGAGCGTGGGGTTTGTGGGTGTGTGCGGCAGGGGGGGGAGTGATGGAGCGTGGGGTTGCGTGTGTGTGTGCGGCGGGGAGTGGGTTGTGTGTGTGTGCGGCGGCGGGGGGGAGTGATGGAGCGTGGGGTTGCATGTGTGTGTGCGGCGGGGGGAGTGGGGTTGGTGTGTGTGTGGCGGCGGGGGGAGTGATGGAGTGTGGGGTTGTGTGTGTGTGCGGCAGGGGGTGTGTGTGTGCGGGAAGCGGCGCGGCGGGGCTTGGAGTGGGCATGGCTTCCGCAGAGGGAACGTTGGCCGGAAGGCTGTGTGCGCGCCAGGGAACTTGCGGCTGGGCGCCAATGTGCATGCTCAGTTGTTTTGCCGTTTTGTGAGTGTGTTGTTGTGTTGTTTTTCATTTTGAGTAGATGTTTGTACCTTGTGGGTTGTGTTATGGGCATGGGAATTTTGGTTAAGTTTCGTTGGGGTTTTTTTGAGTTTTGTTGTTTTGCTGTTTTGTGAGTGTGTTGTTGTGTTGTTTTTCATTTTGAGTAGATATGTTTGTACCTTGTGGGTTGTGTTATGGGCATGGGAATTTTGGTTAAGTTTCGTTGGGGTTTTTTTGAGTTTTGTGGCTCCGTTGGATGCCCCTAACAAATTTATATATATAGATTGAAGTCTGTTTCATTTAACTGCTCTCCAAAATATTTTAGTTTATTCTGCCAGTGAGGAAGCAACATAAATGACGACCATAATTCCACACACCATTCTTATTATGTTTCGTAATATTTCTGATCTGATAGTTACATCTATAAAATTTTCCCGAGTTTCCAAAGTACAAGAATGCTTTATGAGTTTCCCAAATGGGAGGTAAATATTCAACTGAAATACGTTCCTATCTGTTATCATGATTTAGAGGAGCTCCCAGTGCCGCAATGGGTTAAAAGCACTGTGCCAGCAGGACTGAAGACCGACAGGTCGCAGGTTCCAATCCGGGGAGAGGCGGATGAGCTCCCTCTATCAGCTCCAGCTCCTCATGCGGGGACATGAGAGAAGCCTCCCACAAGGATGATAAAACATCAAATCATCCAGGCGTCCCCTGGGCAACGTCCTTGCAGACGGCCAATTCTCTCACAACAGAAGCGACTTGCAGTTTCTTAAGTCGCTCCTGACATGACAAAAAAAATAATTATCATGATTTAGGAAGACTGACCCAGTGTGACAGGGGATGTAGTTCTTCCCACATACAGAGATCTCTGTGGTTGCCACCAGTAATGTATCTGGACAAAACTTAGCACCCCCTCCTCATGACCAACAGATAATAATGGAGAGGTTTGGGGGGGGGGCTAGTCAAGCATGATGTGAGATGTAGTTCTCCTTGTACCAGAGAACACTGTGAACCCTACTCGTGATGGATCTGGACTGGACTTGGCACACAAATCCCCCATTGTTGCACCCCAGAGTAAGAACAGGACCCTCTAATCATTAATTACATCACACCTTGGATGAAAAAAGAGTCATCTTTATTTGAAGAATAATTGAAGCCAATAAAAGAGATGAATATAAAGTTGATAAAAGTCCAAAAGCAAAAAGCCAAATAAGCAGTAACATAAACAGTGTCCAAACATAGGAATAATATCAAAGATCCAAAAGCTTGCTGTTTAAATCCAGATGCAAAGAAATATCAAATGCCTTCTATAAAAACCATGAACATAGCCACTGCTAATCCACTTGAAAAGCCAGGGAACCTAGGAGATGAGGTCACAAAAATATCCAGAAGACTTGACTTGAAACCAAACGATGTCCGGTCTGAAGGAAATTCCCTAAGAGCCCAATTTATCCCAAAAACTGATTTCTA